GTTCACCTGCTGCACCCTGTTCACCTGCTGCACCCTGTTCACCAGCTACACCCTGTTCACCAGCTACATCCTGTTCACCTGCTGCTGTCTGGAAAGAGACACAGAAGTATACCTTGGCCCACTACCTTGTAACATCTGATGGGCAAGTCTTCATGTTAGCTGCCCTACCCTACTTTCTACAGTCAGCCATTTGAATTCCTTGAATTGGGAGGAGCTAATGTGAGACATGGGGTTACAATTCACTACTACCCTGACTAGTTTATATTGAGCTTTTAGTTTAGTCAGCAGAATCTGATGGGTCCAAAAGTACCATGCCGAATCAATCTCTTTCCTTATGTAATCAGTATTAGCAGGAGACGATTGAATTCCTTCTGCTCCTTCAAACTAACATGACTGTACTGGCCTGAATAGAAGGATTCAGGAGATTATGTTTGTAAAAGTGGGGGTTGTGTTTGACTGGAGGACAAGACGATGACGTGTTCACAGCATCAGATACTCTTTATGAATCATCAAGCTGTCAAGAATGATCGCCGTCACCGATGAGGATATCACAGAAACAGAGTGACAGAGAGTGTGTGAGTATGTGACCAGTAGATAAACTACAAACACTTTACACTTCATAGTATTATCTCATGCTTCAAGGACGAGGACCCTTTCTCATCTCAGGGAGACTCTCCCAGCAGTACTAGTTTCAAAGTGTGCTGTATCTTCAGAACTGTCTGTATGTGTAATATGACCAGTCTGTGTTTCTGTTTCTAGTGTTTGGTGAGCCGAAGACATATTAAATAAACAGGAGAGAGTTATGGTATTATAATCCGGTCCCTCATCATGAGACCTGATCCCTGCTCACCTTCTCAGCGTACTCAGAGACCATCTGTTTGATCTCCTCAGACTGCAGTCCCACTATCTGACCCACTGCACTCGCTGTCAGCTTCCCCTGCACCAGGAGACAAGACAACAAGAATTCATTCTACAGTTCACATGCATGTTTTAGACATTTCCTTCTTCCCGTTACAGTGAATATGGTATAAAGAATATTCAATAACCAGATGACTAGAAAGAGCTCAGAATAACTAATAGTATTGTAGGTAGGGTCTGAGTCCAGATAAGCAGGATACTATAGTAATGTGCTGATCCAACGCTCAACAGTCCAACAATGAAAAGAGAAACAGACTTGTGTCTACCTCTTCATGTGCCATGGCAGCCATGCTGGTCATCAGTGTTGTGATTCGCATCTAAGAGAAGAAAACAACCTCAGTTACATCACTTTAAGGGTTATCAGATTCATCAGCATCATCTCATACAGCAGGGACTCAAGGTGCTTCACTGAGGGATGGAACAGTAGAACATAAGTACATGAACACATGAAGAGACACACACACTGAACAAAGACACATGGTAGGGCATCTTCTACTACGAAGCTTTGGGCTGCTATGAAGCGCCCGGAGCAGCTCGTCTCGCTCAGAGACACTTTGACATGTGGACATGAGCCAACGGCCAACATCGTGGTTAAAGGACAACCCGCTCTACCTCCTGAGCTTCATGATAAGCAACTACTTGTTCTCATGATTATTAATCACTATTTACACATTATTCCCTTTATAAATTCTCATTAGTAAAATATTCCCATATAGTCTCACCTACTCTCTTTAATGTACATCACATTTATGTGTTGCAAGCCAAGAAGACACTTCATATTTAACTGCAATAAATTCATGATGTAACTTCCCTGCTTGGATGTGTACTCTACTTTATTCAATGCGACCTGTATTAATTATAAGTGGACCTTCTATGCATAATGCAGTCACTGTCATGTAGGAAGTGCTCACCTCCTCCACTGCCTGCAGGTGGTCTTCCTCTGAGAGCTCTGCCATTCCTGGGGGTGCTGCCTGAGAGCCAGTGGGCAGCGACGCCTTCCTCTCCCCCACCTAGAGGAGGGGGGGGGGCACAGGACAGGCTGGTTAAAGAGCACTGCACTGAGTCTGCACCGCACTCCTAGAACATCGCCACGCATGATGCAGTTTAAATGAAGCACACGTTCTTCTTCCTTGTCAAACCTTGGTGTCAACATTACCCACAATGCAACTTGAACACTGACAGTTTTGTTCAGAGGTTTAGAAGAGATGAGGTTGAGGGGGTGTCCTTCAGAACTGCTCTGAAGTATTAACCTGACAATCACTATGAGCTGAATATTAAAAAGACAAAAACTAAAACTTGTTTTTCTGTGATGAATATTATTATTGTTCTCACACAAAAACTAGATCTGGCTAAAATCTCATTATTATATCTCTAACGACTTCACATTATGTGGGAAAAGGTGGTATTTACTTTCTTCAAAAACGTAACAAAAGTAGACATATATGTATTATTTACAACATATTTGATAATGATGTTGGCAAAATGTGTTCATTAATACAAACATAACCATAAAAACATTATTTTGTTGTTTTCCTGAAGGACGCTGAGCAATATGTGAAACTACTTTCTATTTCAACGACCAAAAGGCATCACTTCATTTATCCACATTATGAAAGATCTAGAACATGTAGGTCTAGTGGGTTATATATATATATACACACACATATATATATACATATATACGTATACACACATATATATATACATATATATGTATACACACATATATATATAC